TAAGGAGAAAATTTGGGACCGATTGGTGTTCGTCCCGTGTTGATTGGACGTCTAGAAGCTTATATATTCGCGAAAAAACTTGTTAAACTTGCCAGAATACCTGCCAGCTTGCTGTATCACCTGCTACTTGTTAATGTACTGAAAACTTGCTAATGTGCTGAAAACCTGCCAAAGTACTTGGTATTTACTTGCCTAAATACCGCAAAGAACTTGTTCTAAAATACTTGGTATTTACTTGCCTAAATACCGCGAAAAACTTGTAACTTTTTGACGTTTAAATCATACGACGATCAATAATTTGGTCTCAGAATCCTTTTTTGAATTATCAATGATTTACTTGCAAATTGAACTGATTTACCTACCTATTAGAAGTGCATCCTAGCTATGTGAAATGCGATTCACCTACCTACCTGTTGTTCCCCACTTGCTCTTCGCGTCCTACCTATCTTGCGGTTATACCTGTAAGTTATCAGTCGGTGGATGGTTATAGTGCAATACCCTGCACGGTGAACAGCTTGCGAGTTTTAAAGCGGTGCGATTGCTGGGGCTTATTGCTGACTGAAAAGGGTAAATACAGTAAATACAGATGGCTGTGTTGGATCCCTTTGCTTTTGCCCAACATTCAGCGTTGGAATTGTGGCTTTACCGTCTCTCTTATTAAAGTTAGCTAACTTTTTGTAGATTCGTAAGGTTTGAAGCGACGCGCGTGACGATATCCCTCTGGCGGCCGCACGCGGACCTACCGCGCACGGCGGCTCTGGCCGGACGACTGCACAGGTGGCAGCACCTGCCCCGACTGGGCATTTACGGCGACCCCGGCCGGCCGCCGGCTGCAGTGCCTGGATCTCCGGAACGGCGGTACCTCGCTCATTTTCGCTCGTGCATTCAGCGGCGGGCTGTCGATTTTTCGAGTGTCGGCTGCCGATCTCCCGCGAGCCGGCCACCTGTCAGCCGCTGCTCGGCTCTGTGTTAAGCATATAGTGACGGCGAATTTCTCCGGGATGGAGGGACCGCCATCGAGTTTGTCACGTGAATCGGCCGCATTCCTGTGTCTGAGGCCAATGCTTAAGAGATATGTGGTTCCGCGGCTATCTCGCAGGCCCTAAGAGAAAAAGCTCGCTGCAAAAACTGAGCGTTTCAAAAAACCCGCAAACCGACGCAAATAGAATAGTTATACAAGATATCTTGCGCTCGCTCCGCGTCGCTTTGGCCATAAAAAGATTAAGGAGAAAATTTGGGATTGAATGGTGTTTTTCCGGTGACGATCGGACGTCTAGAAGCTTCGATATTGGCGAAAAACTTGCTGAACTTGCAAAAGTACTTGGTACTTGCTTGGTATTTGCATAAGTACTTGGTACTTGCTTGGTACTTGCGAAAGTACTTGGTACTTGCTTGGTACTTGCCAAAGTACTCGGTACTTGCCAAAGTACTCGGTACTTGCCAAAGTACTGGGTACTTGCTTGGTATTTGCCTAAGTACTCGGTATTTGCCAAAGTACTTGGTACTTGCTTGGTATTTGCATAAGTACTTGGTACTTGCTTGGTACTTGCGAAAGTACTTGGTACTTGCTTGGTACTTGTACTCGCCCCCCCCCCTTGTTCCCCCGACTCTACTCCCACCCCTACCCCCTCGGGATAATTCCGGGTTCGTCGGGTAGGAAAACTTGCCACTCTACTCCCCCCCCCCCTTAGAGCCATTTGGTATCGATCGGTGTTTGTCCCGTGTCAATCGGTCGTCAATAAGCCGAGATATGCACCGCGAATTATTTCAATCGGCGCCGATCAGAATCTTCAGGACGGAGGTACCCACACTCATTTCTGGCCGTATCTCACTTTTCCGAGATCTACGTCAAACTACGTATTTAAAACTACATATTCTACAGCCGAATCTTCACACTGGGGGTACCTCACTCACAATCGCACGTGATTCAGCCGCATTCCATGTCTGTTGCAATGCTGAAGAGATATGTGTTTCCGCGGGTATCTCGCAGGCCCTAACAGAAAAAGCTCGCTGCAAAAACTCAGCGCTTCAAAAAACCCGAAATCCTAGTCAAATAGTATATTTAACAAGATATCTTGGCTCGCTCCGCGTCGCTTTGGCAATCAAAGTATGAGGGAGAAAATTTGGGATCGAATGGTGTTTTTCCGGTGACGATCGGACGTCTAGAAGCTTCGATATTGGCGAAAAACTTGCTGAACTTGCAAAAGTACTTGGTACTTGCTTGGTACTTGCCAAAGTACTCGGTACTTGCCAAAGTACTTGGTACTTGCTTGGTATTTGTATAAGTACTCGGTATTTGCCAAAGTACTTGGTACTTGCTTGGTATTTCCATAAGTACTTGGTACTTGCTTGGTACTTGTAAAAGTACTCGGTACTTGCTTGGTACTTGCGAAAGTACTTGGTACTTGCACTCGCCCCCCCCCCGTTCCCCCGACTCTACTCCCACACCTACCCCCTCGGGATAATTCCGGGTTCGTCGGGTAGGAAAACTTGCCACTCTACTCCCCCCCCCCCACAGAGCCATTTGGTATCGATCGGTGTTTATCCCGTGTCAATCGGTCGTCAATAAGCCGAGATATGCACGGCGAATTATTTCAATCGGCGTCGATCAGAATCTTCAGAACGGAGGGACCCACACTCATTTCTGGCCGTATCTCACTTTTCCGAGATGTACGTCAAACTACGTATTTAAAACTACATATTCTAAGGCCGAATCTTCAAACTGGGGGTACCTCAGACCGTGGGAACGACTCGGCTCAGCACTGCCGCACGCGCATTCAGCGGCGGCTTGTCGATTTTTCGAGTGTCGGCTGCCGATCTCCCGAGAGCCGGCCACCTGTCAGCCGCCGCTCGGCTCTGTGTTAAGCATATGGGGACGGCGAATTTCTCCCGGAGGGAAGCACCTCGCTCACAAAAGCACGTGAATCAGCCGCATTCCTGTGTGGCGCGCAATGCTGAAGAGATATGTGTTTCCGCGGGTATCTCGCAGGCCCTAACAGGAAAAGCTCGCTGCAAAAACTGAGCGTTTCAAATAACGCCAAATCCTAGTCAAATGGATATTTAAACAAGATATCTTGGCTCGCTCCGCGTCGCGTTGGCCATAAAAAGATTAAGGATAAAATTTGGGATCGAATGGTGTTTTTCCGGTGACGATCGGACGTCTAGAAGCTTCGATATTGGCGAAAAACTTGTTGAACTTGCAAAAGTACTTGGTACTTGCTTGGTACTTGCCAAAGTACTCGGTACTTGCCAAAGTACTCGGTACTTGCCAAAGTACTTGGTACTTGCTTGGTATTTGCATAAGTACTCGGTATTTGCCAAAGTACTTGGTACTTGCTTGGTATTTCCATAAGTACTTGGTACTTGCTTGGTACTGCGAAAGTACTTGGTACTTGCACTCGCCCCCCGTTCCCCCGACTCTACTCCCACACCTACCCCCTCGGGATAATTCCGGGTTCGTCGGGTAGGAAAACTTGCCACTCTACTCCCCCCCCCCCCCCACACACACACACAGAGCCATTTGGTATCGATCGGTGTTTATCCCGTGTCAATCGGTCGTCAATAAGCCGAGATATGCACGGCGAATTATTTCAATCGGCGTCGATCAGAATCTTCAGAACGGAGGGACCCACACTCATTTCTGGCCGTATCTCACTTTTCCGAGATGTACGTCAAACTACGTATTTAAAACTACATATTCTACAGCCGAATCTTCCAACTGGGGGTACCTCAGACCGTGGGAACGACTCGGCTCAGCACTGCCGCACGCGCATTCAGCGGCGGCTTGTCGATTTTTCGAGTGTCGGCTGCCGATCTCCCGAGAGCCGGCCACCTGTCAGCCGCCGCTCGGCTCTGTGTTAAGCATATGGGGACGGCGAATTTCTCCCGGAGGGAAGCACCTCGCTCACAAAAGCACGTGAATCAGCCGCATTCCTGTGAGGCGCGCAATGTTGAAGAGATATGTGTGCACGCAGCTATCTCGCAAGCCCTAAGAGAAAAAGCTCGCTGCAAAAACTCAACGTTTCAAAAAACCCGCAATCCTACTCAAATGGATATTTAAACAACCGAGAAGTAGGTACCTGTCATCACTGCAAATAGGATTACATGCCCTAAAAGATAAAAGCAAAAAGGATATAGACAAAGAAATAAACAAATGGGATGCCAAACAATGGATGGAAGAAATAGGAAGCAAGGTAAGCCTACAGCTATACAAAGCAAGCAAACAACGTATAAGAGAAGAGACTATCTATGACAACACCCCAGCAGCGGTCACTCTCTTCCGAGCTAGAACGAATTCGCTACCCCTACAAGAAAGAAGACGACACACCGATGAAGGCACATTATGCCAACTATGTGGAGAGGAGAATGAAGACATGGAGCACTTTCTATTGAAATGTAACAGACTCATGGATGTTAGAAGTAATATCGAGTCCCTACAACGACCTCACATAGAAGACACTCAAGAGATCATGAGAGACTTTCTCTTCAATGACGAACGGGAAGAGGATGCGGAAGAGAGGAAGGAGAAGCTGCACTGTCTATGGAGAATCCGTCAAAAGCGTCTGGAAGGACCATGAGCAAATGTAGAAAGACATGCAGCCTCCATCCTCATCCTTTTCCCAGCACCCCTATAACCAAATAGGGCACCTATGGGGGAGCCGATGCAAAGGCTATTCCCCCGAAGACTCATCTGCATCTGCATCTGGGAGCTACCAAATCTCAACTTTAGTTCGACGGGCTGCAGGCCGTCAGGTCGGTCAGGTCGACGGTGACGGGCCCGACACCGACAGACTGACGGTCAAGTGTGAATTGCGTTTTAAACCCGCGAGACCTGTACATACTTGACATGACTAACCCTGACCTAACCTGACCGGACGTGACACTCCGTACGACGTACGAAGCGGACACGGGTAGCACGGCATCGGCCATTTTTAGCCTGTTGTTGACCAGTGTTTTTCAATACGGAGATGGTAACGACTGTCCATTGCCCATGTCTTCAGGTATACTCGTATGTTCGGGAGCCGTGGTCGGCAGCGGGTGCGCACTGCCGAGCTGACCGGACCGGTCCTGGCGTCCGATCGCCAGCCGGCGAGGGAGGGCCGACCACGGCGCTGCAGTCCGCTGCAGGAGCCAATCGCCTCCTGCCGCCGCCGTTGTCAACGGCGCTGAAGAAGTCAATAGACGAAACCGGTACGCCCTTAATGTAACTGTTTTAATAGTTTGATTCGTAGAGCCTGGAGGTTAATGTACTCTCGATACAAGAAGCGTGTTGTTTACTGCGTCTTGACGAGAGGAACACGATGCCACTAAAAGTAGGCTATTGCAAGTTTTGAGTCAAAAAGTTATTTAAAGGGACTATCCCACCTTTACATTAGGTTTGAGTTGAGATAGCCAAGTTTGCGGCGAGGTTCAGGAACCACTATCTATCTTGGTCGCAACCCCCGCAGCCTCGTGGTGTTGAAGAAATTCGTTCCCTTCATTTGAAAATGTTCCCTGTACGAGTCCCAATCTCTTAACTATTAACGGCAATCTGATGACGTCATTTGCCTTTTGAACGCCTGTCACGCAATCAAGGTAAGTATCACTTGATTTACGAATAATTATGCCAATCAAAGATACTTTTGCTATTGTATGAGCCGCGTCATATTTGAGAGCAAATATATTTTCTGCCAAATTTCCCTCCACATTGACATTAAGTAAATCCTTCATTGCGTCACAGATCTGATCTAAATGACGTCATAATGAAATATAAAAGTCGCAATATCTCAAAAAGTATCAGACGAAAACGCGTAAAAACTTGCAGAATTCGTCACTATATCATGAGTAACATTTCCGAATCCTAAACGTTACTTTTTAGAAGGTGGGATAGTCCCTTTAAGAGAAACTGTTACCGCCAAAATGAACGTCAATTTTGGCAGTTATTCCCTGTGGATGCTAAAACGTCGACCTTAGGCCAAATCTGAGAACATTATCTCAGAGAGACCGTTATTAGAGCTATGGAATGCGCTGAACCGCGGCGTTGTAGCTCCATGTGTTCTTGAGCTCCATATGCGCCGGTCTGTAAAAGATTGTCGAAGTTTGACTTGGGAAGTGGTGAAATTTTACCTTTTGGTCACCTCCTCTGGTGACAGGACGTTTCACCTGATTAAAATGTCAAAGAACTAATTTCGTTATATTTTTATTTACGCTTTTTCCATCGTCGCTCACCGCGTGGCGTGTCGCTACGTGGCCCGGGAGCCGAATTAGTTAGAAGGGGGGAGTGGTGGTTCAAACATCCCTCCAGCAGGGCGTGCAAATCCAGTATCCCCATTGGGGCGCAGGTTAATCTCTCCATTTGTTTTTGTTTTGTTGGGTTAGGCCCTTTCGGTCTGACGAGACCATTTCAGAGCCAGAAGGGCGATAGGAATTAGGGGGAGACATTGGTCTGGGCAGGCACCCTAGTGAGTCACCGGCCCGTCCCGAAGGACAGGCCGACCAGCCCCAAGGTACTCGCTGCACCCGGCTACGGGGTGCGCTCCCTCGGGAGCAGCGGTGCCGCTCCAAGCAGCCGGGAAAAAATGGCTGTGAATATTTTATGCGAATAGCTCAAGGCTTTTTTAATTTTTTTTTACGTCAATCAAAACTTTGTTTTTCTTGTATGAAAATTGTGGATTAGAATATAACAATAAGTGAACCGTTTTTGTTGCCTGTTGCCTGTTTGTAATCTGTTGAGGCTGCCCTAACGTCGCCTATGAACGGTTAGGTGAGATAGTGGTTTGGCATATTGCCAACAGCGGCAGCACTTGTCAGGGTTGCAGTGCGTCCAAGCACACAATAGGAACCAGATATGGAATGAATTTTCATTAATTTGTATAACAAACTATGGTGTGGCGTCATTCCACAATGATAGTTGTTGCTATTGGTTAGGCCCGCCCGATGCGCATGCATGAAAAACATACTTTTCAAATCAATTCATCTTAAAAGCTTCTTTATACAATTAGAAGTGCTCATTTTGGCCGACAGATGGCTGTAGCACTGCATGGCGTTGGCGTTTGGTACTGGGAGGTTTTTTAATAATGATTCTTGCCATGACGAAAGTTATGTCGCGTTTGCACAGGAAAACTACTGACATTCGTTTATTGCTCCAAATTAATGTCTCTGTATAGACAGTCTACCTTGATAAAAGAAGTTTTATTGAGTTTCGTTTCAAAACAAGCATCATACTTCTTGACTGTAAGTTATAAAGCTGGAAAATTGCGATTATGACATGGGGACCACAGGGGCAATGTAGAAACCCCGGACTCGGGACTCGGGGACTCGGAAGGAGAGACACTGCGTCCATATGAAGGCGTCCTCTCCGAGCCCAGAGATCCCTCTACGTCTCCCGGCCCACCCTCTGTCCGACGGTTGGTTGGCGATATGGACTGCAGAGGTCACCACCGTCCGTGGAGCCATTCAGCCCAGCCAGATGTCTGGCTAGTGGTTGGCGATATGGACTGCAGAGGTCGCCACGGTCTTTCGGCTCGCTGCACTGTGTGCGGCGCTGCTCCGCCTGTGGTGGCCCGTGGTGTAGACATTAGCGGAAATAGCGGGTATTTTGGCCGTTACGAGAAGACATCCCATCACTCTGTCCTAAGCTGTCTCAAGCTCTCCGGAGCCCCGACTCCCTACTCTGAGTCGTTGCCAAGCAACCGTTGGCATGACAACCCATCTGGGCACTCCGATTGGCTAAGGTTTCCCGCCATACCGGGATCACGGATTATGAAGGATGCTCAGTTGCGGCTTAATTTGACTCAACACGGGACAACTCCCGGACACCGTAAGGATTGACAGACTGATAGCTCAGACAGACTGATTGTGATTATGTATGGTGAATTTCTAGTTAATCCAACAATAAATATGGCAGTTAGTTGCCTGCTAAGGGTAAGATGTCGCCGGCTGGAGCGGGATCGGCGGCCGACGCGGGAAACGCGGCAATCACAATTTTGTGTTTACACACTCATAATTCAAATTTTTATCTGCCGATTTTCAAAATTTATGGACCAGAAGATTGCTTGTACATTTCTTAGTCTTCACACAAAATCTAAAGCGAATCCAATGTAATCAGCGGTAACGAGCGCGATGTAAAGACGGGACCATCCCGCCCCGGCACAGTCTACAATTCAGGCGGGCGGCGCGCGCGCAACGGCTGGCAGTGGCCGGATGTTTGACTTTACACCGCTATTAGTAGAAAAGTTGTGAGCCGATTTTCTTATTTCTTGCACGAGAAGATCTGCAATTCAATTCTGCACAGGTAGCTGAAATTTCACATCAATATTAGGTTTGCGGCGCGAGTTTTTAGCGAAAAACAGGAGGGGTGGGCGAAATCCGCCCCCCCCCCCTTCCACTACGCGTGTTAAAAGGTTCGTTACTCTGTCAACTTTGACCGATTTTTGGAGATTAGGGAAGTAATCTAGCAACACTGACTGACGCGGGTTCCGTACATAATTGAGTGTCCTACACGCTCATTATTTCATATTAGGGGCGGAACAAATTATGGCAAAGTTAGAGACCAAAAACCAAACACGTTCGGCAAAGTCGGCAAAGCCCATTGGCGGTGATCGGCAAGTTTCAGTTCCGAAACAAACTGTGTTTGAATAGTTTGACTGAAGAATCCCTCAGCGCATCTGCTAATAGGAATGTCAGCTGCCTTATTCTCAATTTTCCTCTCGCCCAACTCACCAATTCAACCAGGTCTCACCGCTCAAGTCATCATTGTGATTATTGGTGACCTGCCACATGCGTACATTAAAAGGCTTCGTTACCCTGTCAACTTTGACCGATTTTTGGAGATTAGGGAAGTAGGGGAGAGTGGGGTAATTTGGCCGGTGGTGTAAATTGGCCGCCCCCACCTGTACGATGTCTTATAAAAGTGAGTGAAATAACTCTAGTCTCTATTCATTTGTCATGGGTAGAAATAACTGGAGGACAAATGTCAAAACTTTGCCCCTCGTAGTTTTATTCAAAATTAATAAAACGTTAATTTCATTAGAAAATGGTAACTTTTACTTCTGTTTACAAAGTTGTATAACATGTAGTATTTGGGCTAAAAACGAATTCAGACATTATAGCGCCATTCTTGGGGGTGTTCAGCGGTTCCAAGAGCAATTTTATCTAATTCCGTAAAGCCGTGATGACTTTATAGACATAAATTTTCAGAATGGCAATATGGGGTAATTTGGCCGGGACTAGTGGGGCAACTTGGCCGGTGCGCTCATGGTCACTATGCTGGGACGGCCGAGTTTTCATGGTCAATTGTACCATAAATGACATGATTCATGACCAACTTTGACTACTTTGATGCCTTACTTCCGATTGGTCAACTGTAAGAGCATGTGACGTCATCAAAGGTTACCAAACGTTTTTTTTGCTACTAAATCCTTACATAAAAATGGTACAGCCGCGCAAATGGTCTCATTCTGTTCAGCTCGCCAAGGCGCATCGAATGATATGCATTATGACCTTGAAATCACGTTACCTTGAGGTTAAGCGACCTGATGCAACGTGACCTCAGGTCAGCCTTTGACCTTGACTTCTCAAGGTCAACACATATATCTTTCGATGCGGACTGACGAGAGAATTACGATGGTACTCAAAGTTTTGGCCTAGCTTCATTACTTCAAAAGTTATTCGTAAAAAACGGTGATCGCATCTAGAGCCGCTAATTTGGCTATTTTGACCCCTGTGACCCCTGAGCCAACCTCCAAAATGCAGCAAATGCGCCATAGGACACACGTCATTGCTGAATCTGAAGCTGACTCGCAATATAACAGAAAATCCCGACCGCAAACTAACACCGGCCAAATTGCCCCACACCCCCGGCCAAATAACCCTGCTAGTGGGGCAATTTGGCCGCCTTGCAGACCTTTGTAATACGTCACAATTTCAATATAAGCAATTACTCTATCATTTCAAGTTCACTGTCCAGTAAAGTAAAATGAATGCGACACCTGCCAGCGTTGAGAAAATGCAGAAATGTGTCGTCATTTTTAAGTTATATCGTTTTCTAAAAAAAGCGGCCAAATTACCCCACTCTCCCCTAATCCAGCAACTCTGACTGACGCGGGTTCCGTACATAATAGAGTTTCCTACACGCTCATTATTTCATCTTAGGGGTCGAACAAATTATGGCAAATTTTTCAGTAGCGTTAGTCAGTGGCGGCCGCACGGCTTCGTGTTGCGGAGGCCGACACGGCGGTCTCTCGTCGAACATGTGTTGAAGCCCATCAATACAATACTGGCAATACCATATAAATCAACAATACACACAATACAAGTCGATAGTAAACGCCGGTTGCCGTGCCACGCTGCCTCAGACATTTCCGGTAGGTGACAAGCGTAAAACC